GTACGGGCCGTTCTGCTTGCAGTACGGCCCGTTCTGCTTGCGGGGAAGGGGGTGCGAGTAAGGGGGTGCGAGGAAGGAGGGGTGTAAATTTAGGAATTTTTTTTTTAAAGGTAATTTAGACATTTTATATATATATTTTTTAAAAGGGGGTGTGCTTATAGGAGAGTGGAGGTGTGTTTATCATGAACCTTTACATTAAGTCCTAACTCACATGAGCATATTTTATTTGTGAGGTGGGCTGTTTAAACCCGGAAGCTCCCTCACTCCCTCCCATACATTCCTAGCTAATAAATCATTGTTCTTGTATGAGAAATTAATAATTGTTATATTAATAAAATCACATATTCACATCATCCTATCTCGTAATGGATATTTAATTAGGTCATCCCGAAAGGGGTAATAAATTAAGAATAGGTTAGGCTGCTATATAAGAGTTTAACGTGTAGTTTACATTACGCCTAAGTGTTAAAAATATTATTATTTTATTATATTAAATCGTATATTTATTTATCCTTGTAATTAAATATTAATCATGTTAACTTATACAGGAGAAGTCTATAAGTTTTATTGAAGAATTAATTTATACATTATTTAGAGATCTTATTGTCAAATAAAATTTCAAACAAATCATTATTAAGATCAGATAAAACCCTATAGATAAACTTATATTGCATAAACAAATTAGACTCATTTCATATAAAGTCTAGTTCAATTATTTTCACCTCTCTCATGCCTTGATTAGCATTAGTTTTAATTTTCATATATAATTTACAATTTGTTTTAGAGTGATGATATACGTATAACAATTCATATAACATTATTTTTTGTGTGTGTTACTTTTCTCCATTATTTATTACATTTTAAATTTCTCTATCTTAGTAAAAAATTTGTTGTAAAGTATAATTTCTTAATTTCCTCCGGTGACGTAGTTTTTCATTAATTTGATACTAATCATAATTTGTTAGTTGAATGCCCCTATCCAAGTAGGGCATTATAGCTGCTTCCTGAGAGACAATATCTCCTCTAGGAGGGTGAGTGGACTCTAGAGGAGTGGGTTCCACCACAGAGGGAACATGAGGACGTGAAAGATGAAAGCAATCAACTGGACTAGAACACCCCACGCTCTATGTTCGTACTCTAGACATATTTTTGCTCTAGTAATTATATGTGAAAATATTTCCCATTTTGTGAATCCTAAAAACATTGCTTGAAGCTCAAATGTAATCACATTGAAGAAACTAGTTTTTCTTTTCAAATAGTAATTAATAAATAAAGTAATAAAGATATTAAGACAAGATAAGATGTATCGGAGTTTAAGTATTCAAATCAACATATGCAACCTAACTGTTGTATTTCATGCAGGGTTTTTAATGGTTTGTCCGTGAAACCAACTCCAATTGCATAAACCAACAAAGATTCTTCACATTATCTATTCTTTTTTTAATGATTAGCTGCTACAACGTTGTTTACTGTACAATGAGGCATTGTTATTATCCCCCATTGATGACAACTATTTTGTCTTACGTTGAATTCTAATATCGATGTCAGAATACTTTTAATTGTCAAAAGACAATATCCCATTCAAGCCTCCTAGACATACAATTCAACTTCACCAATTAATGCAGGATTTCTATATGAAGAAGTTACAATTAATACTTTTTCTTATTTGAATATTGAATATTACAATCCATTTGATTATATTTTTAGAGATTTTTTATTACGAAAGAAATTATTCAATTTGCCCTTTCATGAAAAAGATTTTACTTCTTAAATTGGATTTTCCCCCCCTTAAAGACAATTAGTGTTGAAAGCGAAATTGGATATTAAATATGAACATTTCTTTAGAATGTGGATCTGTTAGACTTATCTCTGTAGATACTTCGTAAACCCTATAACTAGGCTGTTTAACCATTATTCTATGTAAAATTATAACATATTCATCTTTTCTCACAGTGGGTTACAACTCTTGCTTTTCTTTATCTAGATTGCATATGGACTAAGAGCACTTTCTAAGACATATGGTATATAAAAGAGGGGGCATCCAATGCTTAAAAGCCAGTAGTTGGAGTTAGCCTACCCACTATTATTAGTAAAAAAAAAAAAGTAAGGCAGAATAATAGGTTGGGACAATTGGAGGAGATATGAAGTTAACCCCATCACAAGTTTCACATAATAATGCTTTAATAATTGAGAATTCTAGTTTTACACATGGACATACATAACTTGACCAATCTATTTGTGCAAACTTAAAATAAAAAAATAATTATGTCAAAAGTTCTTTTTCAGAATTTTACAGAAAATATTATTTCTAAGTTTTGGAAAAAAAAAGGTACAAGAATATTGTTTTTAGATTTTCCTTTTCAAAAAATACGATAAATTTTTAAATATATCTTTTACTTAAAACATACTTTTCATAAAACAACCCAAACCGAATCAGTCCAAACTACAAAATATCCGAAGATTAATCTTAACTTGGATTATAGTAAAATGTGGATAAGAAAAATGAAGAAAATAGTACAATTATGGACCATCAAAGAGGCAAAGACATGACACAACAAGTTAGCAACTACCGGTTTAATTTCCTTTGGTCCGACACAGCACGAACCCAAGTACATCTATAATTGACACTTGTTTAAGTTATGACTTTTTTTTTATGAAAAAAATTTAACCATCAAAGTAAATGTATAAATAAAAAGAGGAAGAAAAGGCTAAATATTGGGTGTGACTAGGAACATACAAATATTTGATATCCCTTGTCCTATGAACAAGTAATTTTTTGAGTTAAATTTTTTGCTTCATGCTCAAGATAAGATGAAAAGCAAAATTAAGGGGGTCAATAACTGTATTAGCATGTTATGTGGGAAAGGTGGTATGAATGATTATAATGAGAGTAAGTGGTTCTTGTGTTTTTGGTGGTCCTCAATTTGTCATGCATCCACCCCACAACCCCCCACTCAACTTTAATTACATAGAATGCCTTGAGGCCAAAGGCAAAATAAAAGAACTGTACACACGCACACGCAAATAGGGGGAGGGGGAATTAAGTGTGAGATGAAAATAATAATAAGAAGGATCAAATACTCATTTTTGTCCTCAAGATTTTTCATTAATTATAATTTGGTCCTGTATTAAACAAAAAAAGCACTTGTATTATTACAAAGTTATGATCAGTCTCACTCAAGGAGTAATTTACTTTTTTTTTTTTTTTTGTAGTTTGAGGATGTAATTATAAATGTTCTTTAAAAAAATTGGAACAGTACCCCTTCTAACATTTTGAGGACATAAGGTGAGACAATAAATATGGTTTCTACTATATAAATATTCTAAAATGTAAGCTTATATTCTATATAAAAAAAATATATGATACCATTAAAAATGATAAGTTCTATCACACGAAAATATTTTTTCTAATCATAAATTAATACATACAAATACAAAATATATAATAGACATTTAATTTTTTGTTGGAAATTAAACTTGTTACTTTAAATGTTTGGATAAGGTAAAATTGAAAGAATTTTCAATAAGTTCAGAAGATGAAATTGAAGCATAATTATCGAAAAAACTTTTTTTTTTCTAACTTTGGATTTTTTTTCCCATTCCTCCACTAATATAC